AAAGGGGATGATTATCCTAATCCTATAATGATTAGGATAACTACAACATATGGATAAATACAAGGGAGGATAATGACAAGTCTTGGCCGCCTGGTATGGATAAGGATAAGGTGCTTGTCGCCTGGTCTTGGACTGAAGTGAGACTGATGTGGTCTGGTCCATTTCCGGATATGTCCCAACCATCATTTCTCAACAAAAGCATTGTTTTGCCTTTTGTTCTTTGTTTAAAGCACAAAGCAACCCACCCACTCCTATTTATATATTATTTATGTCTTTTTACCATATGAATCTTTCAAAATCCATCTTCACAGCACATTCCTTTTTCTTTTTTTACCATAATTACTTCCTTTTTGTTTCAAATAATCAACCACAAAGGTTGTTCTTCAACAGTTGGTTCTAATCAGATGAAAACGTGTAAGATTTAAACATTATCCAAAGTGATTATACCAAATTAGTTCTGCTGAAATTTAATTTCTAAAAGTTATTTTCTTGTAGCTTAAGACTCATGTTGATGATCTTGACATGATCCAAGATCGTTTCTTACATCTTCATTGATTTCACATTCATATTACAAAACTATGATAATTTTGGAGATTAAGAAAAGATGAGTAAACTTGCGAACAAACTTAGAAGCCAAAATCTAGGTTTAAGCTGATGAGGCTGCTGCTGCTGCCTTTTTTCTTGGCTTGGCTTAGGTGCAGGCCCGTCTCTGATAGGGGCAAGAGGGACATAGGTTCAGGGTCCAAATTTTTTTTAGCATAAATAGTATTAAAAATGATCTATATTTTCTTTTAAAAAATTAGATAAGCGCTCAAAATATTTTAAGGTATCATAGTTATATGTAAAAAAAGAGTATAACTATTTTACCAAGGTCCCAATATTATTTTGAGACGGGCCTGTTTCGGTGCCTAAGCAAAAACAAACGTGCAAAGGTTCAATAACAAAAAGTCATTTCCTAAAGATTCACTCAAGTAAATGAAAACATAGAATGTATATAGGAAAGAGTACCTTCTCTGAAACCGGTCTTGAACCAGCAAGGGAGATTGCGAAGATACTCATCCTTCCCATTCCTGTTGTCTCACCAAATTTAAAAATAAAAAACGTAATTTCTATATTTAAAATGATGACAAAAATACTTATTTTGTGTCGTTATTAACTTTTTAAAAATCCATTTATTTAATATCCTTGTTATGATTTCAAAGATTATAACAAATTTATGACTCTATTTTAGTAGAATTTTTCTAATGCTTGCATTGCAACCTAAACTTGAACTTGAACATCATGTGTCTTTAATCATAACCGTATCTGAATCTAATACATTAATAGAACTGAGATTAGTCACAGTTTGGTGGGTTTGTGCATTTATATACAGCAGAGGCAGGCTGCTTATACACAGGGATGCTGTCTGCATCCAACAGTCTTACTTCTCCCGGTCCAAAATACAACTCTGAATGCCTTCGAAGGTCGAGGCCCTGGACACCCGCTTGTAACACAGATAAGTTGTCTGAATCAGGCGAGACAATGACAACAGTGTCCTCTGAGTATTGAGTCTCCAAAATGGACATGAGCTGCGTCACACGCACGAATACATCTGAGACACTCTCATTAGGCGTACCATCGCTTATAGGAGGAGGTTTTGTCTTCATCGATATCGAATCTAATGCATATACCTACCCAAAAAAAAAAACAATCACACTTTTTGTTACTTATAACGTTTCATTTTACATGTGACAAATGTTAAAAAAAATAAAATCTTACTTCGGATATGGAATCTAGCTTCTTGCCTTCGTAAGCTCCTAAACCACGAGCATCAAGAAAGCTATATTCCGGAACTATATAGCTGCAAGTAAACACGATTAACTAATCACAAATATTAGATTAGTAAATTTTATTATGTCACACACTACCTGCGACTAATCCCATTGATGGAAGCAATTATTTCAGCAGCTTGATAAGCTCTCTGTGTAATGGAAGGCCAGAGCCAACAGTTTCTGTCACATGCTCCCATTGCCTTTAACTGTAACGCAGCTCTCACTGTCTGCTTCTTACCTTTCTCTGACAATCCGTTATCTACCGATGTTTTCGCCACGGGGTTAGTGTTGATGATCCCCAAGCTTTCGTAATCAGATTCACCAGCTCTCACCAGGTAGTAACTTGTTTTCAAGAAAAAAAAAACACACACACACATCAAGAATCAAGAATCAAGAACCAAAGGCTTGAGAGTCAAGTCTACAATCATGAAACTAACTCTTCCCTGTTCATTGTGAGCTTTCTTACCGATTAGAGAGACGGAGAGGAGGCATTTGAAATAGTCCACGTGCGTGGACTGGTGCGAGGGAGAGTGATGGTGAGGCTAGGCCTAGACATAAGGAGAGAGTCTTGAAAAGGTATCTACGTGTAATCTGCGGCGAGGGAAGTAAGTTAAGAGGAGTTTGGTAGCTTTCCGGCGACGGAAGAGGATGTGCGGTTGTGGCCACCGGTGATGATGATAACATAATTCAGTTGTTGTCTAAGGCACGGGAAATTCTGGTCCTCGTGTTTTTAAAGCACACAAAACCAGCAAAGGTAATCGCACATTCCGGTTTAGATGATTGGTTAGTTTCTAAAATCGAGTCTATAACGAACCGGATAGACCAATGATTCATATTAGACTTGGTCAGCAAATGACAATTGTACCCTCCTCATAATGACACTATTTGAGTTCAAGTGAACAAAACGTTTGTTCTTAAGGTTGACTGATTTCCAAACTACGCAGTTTTTGCGGTTGGTAGCGTTTTGCGACAATCATAAAAGTCACTACAAATAGAGACTATTTCCAACCTTGTAAAATCAAAAGCTGGTTTCATTTAACGTTTGCAGTTGGAGGCGGTTGCGGATAGGTAACTTTTTTTTAAATTAAATTAAAATATAAAAATGGAATATTATAACTAAAATTATATCTACCTTTTCTATTTTAATTTAAATTCACTAAAAATATCATAATTTATTTATAAAAACTTTAAATCAAGAACTTTCACTATATTTTTAAATATTAATATATATACATATATAAAAATTTAAAAATATATAATATATAAATATATAAATATATAAATATATAAATATATAAATATATAAATATATAAATATATAAATATATAAATATATAAATATATAAATATATAAATATATAAATATATAAATATATAAATATATAAATATATAAATATATAAATATATAAATATATAAATATATAAATATATAACTAATTATATTATATTTAATATTTTTATTAATTATAGAAATTATATTTTCATCTAAATTAAAATAATAATTAAATAAAATAATATTTTTATTAATTATATTATATTAATAATTTTTTATCATAACAGTATGTTATGATATTTTTTTATTGTTGTAATATGTTAATATTGGTAATTTATTATTTAACCGCTGCAGTATCTTAGACCATCTCCATTAGAAGTTTATTAGGGGTTCAAGGGAGGGGTTCACACGGTTTACGAGACAAACAGTGGTGAACCCACTTCACTTGAGTTCGCTGCGGTGATACTGGTTCATCACGGGTTCGCCACGTGGCGAACCATGATTCGTCGAAATTTTTTTTTTTTTGATAAAGTAAAAAAAAAAAGAATGCCACGTGGTGAACCCCAATTGGGGTTCACTAATGGAGATGCCCTTATAATCAACCAGTCATAAATATTCCGCAAACGCACCAGTTTTTAATCACTGTATCAGTCATACAAATCGCCTAATAATACTAGAAACCGCAATCACCCACATTCACAAACTTCCGCAATCGCAGCCGCAACTACTGCGTTTCAACCAGCCCTTAAACATCAACCGTAATGGGAGAATTATTTTTCTTTTACTGCTTCCAAGGAAGTGTTACAAAACAATCTAACTAAAAATAAAAATGGAAGGAATCACATAGATTTAACTTGCCAAAACCTAATAATTTCACTTTTCAACCAAATAAGTAAAACTCCTTTCTTTTCTTCCAACTCAAAATCTTTTTGTAGCTTCTAGGGCTGCTCTTCTTCATTTTTATTTGGCATGTCTTCTGATCCTATCTTAACCTAACGATGAAGCTGGTCTTTATCAACTAGGTGATGACGAAAAAATAATTGTAATTGTGCGACACATCGATGCAATTGTCAAGCTCGGCCAAGCTCTACTTCAGCATTTGAGTAGCCCTTTTCTTTAACATCATCTTCATCGCTCCAGTTGGTTGTTTTATAGTAAGTTGCGTATAATATAAGTTGTACTATTCCTGATATTGATCCAACAACATTTGGAATCTATTTTCATGAATACAAATCGATATGTTAGGGCCTTTTTCTTCTATAGAAATAATATCAATTGAGTTGAGCATTATAGGGGTCAAAACTGAAGCATACCAAAATATAGGGGTCGAATTTAAGACAAGCATAAATAACCCAAACGACTCCGTTCATTAAGCTTGCTAATGACATGAAGAGCGGCATGTACTTCACGCTCTTTGTCTTTATCACATGTTTCTGCTCACACATTAACTAAACTCATTAAATGTTTTGTTCACAAGACAACAAGAATAAAAACTTTTGTATCCGTGATTAGTCTAGACTCTTGTTCTTGAAACCAGTTACAAAATTTGAGATAAATTCAACTCTCATAAAGAGTGACTACTATCTTAGCTAATTAATTTAACTTCCCATTATGCATGCTATACTAATATATGGTTTCAAAGATGATTTGAATCACTAGACCAAGTTAATTATATTAGTAATTAGAGAAATAAGAAAGAAGAATGGCATACCATGGCGGTTAAAGGAGAAGCATACATGATAATAGTGAAAACAATGCAGAAGGTCCCAATAAGCATAGATCTCTGTTTTGTTGTAGGCAAAAAGTACAACGTGCAGAAGATCACCACCGCCACGAATATCACCTCAATCATCATAGCTATTGTGATCTTTCTCTGTATACAAATCAAAACGTCATCAAATACGCATATCTGAAAACATCTCAAAACTTTCTAGCTAGAGATCTTCATGGTTAATATACAAAAAGAATGCATTATCGTGCATGCATGCATGCATGCATGCGTAGAAACTTACGCGGATAGGCGAAGTAGCGAAGTTAAAGAAGATGGTGACATAAACGAGTTCCATGACAAGACCAGTTCCATTAATGGTAATGACTAGGAGACTATCGGGTTGCACAAAAGGAAGTCCGTAAAAAGTCCACATCATGCAGTTTAGAACCGTAGCTACGCAAGGATCTGGCTTAAATTCCGACACTGATTTCATCTTCCATATCTTCACTATCGTTGGTCTGCATAATAATTCCAACACACACATATACCATCACATGCATCAATTTAACATCATGTAACCACAGCAAACACGTAACATGTATCTTACATTGGAGCGCAGAACAAGCCGAAAGATATCATGTTTCCTGAACATTATTACCAATACATAGAACTTTAATAATGCCTGATTTTTTTATGGATTATAAGAAGGTTTTGCTTTGTTGATTAAACATAATCAAATTGTTTTGGGACTTACCGAGGATTCCGACGATCGTTCGAGTAGTGTGGGCGTCCGTCATTTTGTTATGTATCTCGTAGATTTTTGGTCTTCTACAGATTTTCACAAAGATTCAAATAGATTTTCTTAGAGGACGAACAAAAAATTACTTAAGATTAAGTATATTCTTCTTTCGACGATAATTTGATCTTCATTATATATTTTTTCTTTAGTATCTTGTTTTTCTGTTTGATGAAACATCTGTCTTTGTTTTGTATGGTTTCTGGCCGGGTTCTGTTTCTGTTTTGTTTTTTTAGTATTTGGTTTATTTTCGTCTGTTTTTACCGACGAAATGGAAATTGGAAGTTTAACGAGTCCACTCCAGTTACGAAAAAAAAAAGTTTAACGAGTCTGTGAGTCAATGGAATCTGGGTAGTGTAAGACATGCATGATAATTGATACGTGTTACGCATCCACAATGGTGTTATCCTCAAGGAGTCCTTAAGTTTTGATTTTTTTTTTTACTTTTTCGGATTATAAAAGAAAAGGTAAATATCTACCAATCGTGGATCGACACGTGTCGTGAAGATCCGCAAATAGTGTAAGGATCAGTCATTATTTAGAGATTTTAACGATCGAATTTTTAACTTTTTGTGGGATCCACATATTATTTAATTATTTATTCTCTAAAAACAATATTATTAGGGGTTTCTATACTTGGAGTTCTAAAAATATATATGTGTGTATGTATATATTTTTAGATTTCCAAATGTAGAAACCCCAATAATGTTGCTCTAAGAATTCCCTTTAAGGATTTCCCATTATGGGTGTTCTTACGTGCTTAAGGTATGAACCATGAAGCCATTGACTCTGCTCGTACCCCATTCATGAGAAACATCCGGCTCCTGATTATTTTCTTCCTATTAAAGCTTTTATTCAAACACTTATTTTTGGATCTCGAGATTCACCAACCAATAAAATTACATCATTACATATTTAATATCTTTTAAAGAAGAAAACAAAATATTGTCAATTTATATTGTTTTTAAACTAGAAAATAAAAATAGATAGAAAACAGTAATTGTTACAACATTTTAATCATAAACCCTAAACTCTAAATTCTAAACTCTAAACTCTTGGGTAAACTATAAATCTATAGGTAAACCATAAATTCTCAGATAAATCTTAAACACTAAATCAAAAACACTAAACACTAAATTTTTAAACACTAAACTCTTAATCCTAATCCTTAAATCCTTGGATAAAATAAATGAAAATTAAAATATTTTTAACATCATTAGTAAAACCCTAAACCTTAATACTAAATTCTAAACCATTGGATAAACCATAAATCCTAGGATTTAAAATTTATCAAAGGGTTTAGCCGTTTAGGGGTTAGAATTAAAATTTAGTGTTTTTAAGATTTAGTATTTAGTGTTTTTGATACAGGGTTTAAAGATTTATTCAAGGATTTAAGATTTATCTAAAAGTTTAGGATTTAGTGTTTAGGATTTAGTGTTTTGCTGACGATATTTTCACATTTATCTAAAAGTTTAGGATTTAGTTTTTTTGATACAGGGTTTAAGATTTATTCAACATATTTTTTGTAACTATTACTATTTTGTATCTATTATTTCTGTTTCCTTACAAATCTTTTGTGAAACTTGATTGTTTAATGGAAGTTTATTTTTTTTATTACTGCTGTTATATGATTTTTGATTATATATATACTAAGTTTTTTTTCCTTGTTCATGCACAGATATAAATATATAAAATAATTAATAATTAATTAATTTATAATTAATATATATATATATATATATATATATCATATAATAATTATTAGTTATTTTCATCTATTTATAAAGTTTATCTTATTTGAATTTTCACTAAAATTATTTGAATTTTAAATAGCTAAAATCATATTAAATAATATTAATAGTTCATTTTTTATTTTTTATTTGTAAACATATTTTGTAATTTATTATGTATTAGTTTACAAATATATTTTTTGAAAATATTGAAAAGCATAATTTATTAATTCTTTAAGTTATTTAGTTTAAAGTAAGTTGTAACATTAAGAAGATATTAAATGATAAATATATAAAGCATATGGTTGATGGTTGATTTATCATTAAAAAATTTGTTTCCGCTTTTAATCTTTTGATCAAAACAAATATATAGAAATTATTTCTGATTATTTCATTTTAGTATTTTTTATATTACCGAAGGTTAATAGTTTTAAAATTATCTTCTTTATAAATATATCCATTATTAGTTATTAAACAAAAGATCGAATTATATATATATATATATATATATATGTATATATAACTTTCATATTTTAGTAATTTAAGAAAATATTAAGATAAAAAGGAAATTGAAAGCAAAATATTATGAAACAAAAAGGAAAAGAAAATACAAAATTCTAATAATGGTATTATACATAATATTTTTAGTTTATTAAGGATAATTTTATAGTTGACCATTTCAAAAATGGTTTCGAGCATTATAATATGTTAGACCTGCATTGCCTCCAGTACGATATCAAGCCTGAGAGTTACTAAATTTTTGACTGGAGGGGGAACTTCAGGAAAGTGTTTTTCCATTTTGCGAAGAGATGAGAGGAAAATAGAAACTATTACAGAGAAATGAGAGTTTATTTGAAGAAGATGACGTTGGTGTATATTATAAGGAGTACGTACTCTTATTTATGGGCGACCAAAAAATATATTTATTTAGATCCTAGCCGTCTATTCTATTTCTGTCAATTGACACGTATAATTTTCACTCACCTCTTAAACGAAAATGGGTTTTTAAATAGTTACATATATATGTTTCATTTATATTCTATTTTATTTTGGAATAAATTAATAAAAAATATTTATTACAATAACTAATTTTAATTATAAAAATGGTACTATAATTTTTTATAAAATATTTTGGATTTATACAAATCTTATTACGTTTTTATTCGATTTACCATTCGAACATATGTTTTGGACTGTAAATTCGTTTGATCAACACTTGTCTTTGCGCTACATGATCTATTTTTATTCAGCTGACAAACAAAAAAAGACCTATTTTTATTCCATTCGAGCAACTTGATCTGTTAAATCCGCAAAGCTCGATTAGATTTTCACATTTGGTATGATTCTCAATTTCATAAGAGCATTTGGAGTTTGATGATTGGATGGAAGGTTGAAATATCTTGCGACTCAATTGCTTGATGTCCAAATCTCATATGTCATTGTTATTCGTATGTTTTATGAAAATCCATATGAATATCCATCTTTTGTAGGACCCGCTCTTCAACATTAGTTCCAAAAGAAGAGTACATTTCAAAATATATTGTTAGAAATTCCAGTAAACAAAAAAAAAAACACAATTGAGTATGCTTTGTTGTGTGTCTCGAAAATGACACAATGAAGAACAAAGAAAAAAGCAGAGGATCTAGTCTTGCACAGTATGGAACAACCAGCCAATAGAGCTTCAAAACATATTTGATATTCTGAAATCTAATGTTGAGGTGGACTAGAAGACAAGAAAGTTGTTCATCACACTAGTTTTTTTTTTATCAACCACACTATGGTTTTAGAGCGTTAATATAAAAGTATGATTCAATAATCTGTTAACAAACTTTATTTTTTTTTAAATTAGACAAATTTATTGACTTTATAAAATACAAATAATATAAATAAGGAAACTTATATCATTTTATAGTATTGTGATTATCAAAATTAATATTTATTTATATTTCTAATATTTAGTTAATTACTGTATATATTTAAATCATATAACAAATACCAACTTGTTAAGCCATGGTGTTTTGTTTTTCGCTTTTGCTTTTACAAAAAAGTAATGCTTACAAAAAATGGTAAAATAATAAATGCATTTGATTGATCAATAAATAAAATAAATTAGGTGTTTTGTCCGCACATGCGAGCTTAATTATCTTTTAATCAATTTAAAAATCATCAAAATAAATAATTATTTGCATCCAAAAAATTTGACCGAAAACATTAAATTTTTCTACATGTTAAAGTTATTCACAAATTAAAAAAAAAACTATTTTTTTCCTTTAAAATTTTGAAAAATCTAAAGTCTATTTCATTTCTTCTTAATTTATAAAAAATATAGAAATCTATCTTTCCATTTGAAAAATTGAATCGATAAATATACATTCAAAAATTAATCGTACAAAAAGAATAATATTAGTTTGGATAATAATACAACATATTTCAATTTATTTTTATCAAACACGTATTTTCTTTTTTTTTTAATGATCTTTTATTTTATATGATTAATTCATGTTTAAGGTTTAACAATATAAAATATAAATATAAATTTAATTTAACATGTGAGTTCAGAAAAATAACTTCACAAATATATACATATATCATTATATTATATTCTTTTAATAAATAATTAAGTATTATATTTTTCAATTTTCTCTTTCGAATTATATACATTAAAAAAAATTATTTTATGAATACTTATTTATGTGTTTTTTTTGAATTTTTTGAATTAAATATATTTTCCGGATAACAACACAATATTATCTTTTTCTTTTAAATATATATTTAGATTATGGATAATTCTTATCATTATTATTAATTTAAATCATTTATTTAATCAAATAAGTATTAAATTCGTTTTTATTTTTGGCTAATTTATATATTTTATTTATTAAGGGTATAATCGATATCAACCACTCAAACAAATTTTTACCTTAATGGATAAAAACATTAATTACTATTTTCGGACCCAAAGGTAATCAATAATTTTAACAAAACAAATTTTTTTATTATTAATCACTTATTTAAATCATGTAATTTAAAACATGTTAATGTATTTTTTTATTTTAAATAAAGATCACTTTGTTTTGATAAATTTCAATGGTAACTTTTAAAAATTTTATTATTTTATTTTTCTTAAATATTATACTGATTTAAAAAACTTATTTAAAAAAATTAAATGTAAAGCAAAACCAAAAACCATATATAAAAACTAAAATCCAAAACTAAAAGTTGAAAACGCAGATTATATTTTTTGCTTTTGTTTATTTGGAAAATAAACTATTTCAATTTAAAAAAACAAAAACAAAAATTTGTCATCTTTTTCTGCTTTAAATGAGATGTTCGATTATTTGGGATTTGTTTGTTGGTAATATCAGTTCAAACTAACTCAACAGATCTAAAAACTAAAACTTAAACCAAAAGCTGAAAATAAAAAATAGAAACTTAAAAACTAAAAACAAAAACTATTTTAATATATTAATTTATGTATTTTATTCATTAAGGGTATAATCGATATTAGCCACTCCAACTTTTAACGTGAGAGCTCCGTTGCGAAAAATCACTTCGCAAATAATAGTATAGATGACATGATCATTTTAAAGAAAGTGAGCTTGAGAAACTAAAGAAAGGAATTAGTTCATGATACAAATTTTACCGGGGTTTAACAGACCCCCTGCGTTAATATGTGATGTACAATACTACCATGAAACAAATCGTTTTATCACCGTTGAAATTAATACGAATGTTTTGCATAATTATAGGGTCACGAAACTTGGAATATACGTATATACCTTTTCACATTGGGAGATCCAAACATCCAAGGCTTTGAAATATAGCAACATTTGCGATGGTCTCGTTGGGTATAATCCAACTGAGAATCAAGTTTTCACGTTAGTGGATGGTCCAAAGAAGCAGTAATGGAGGAACCTTGACATCTAAGGCACTTGGAAATTTTTCCTAGCAGCAACGTTTACTAATTTATGCATCGATGCGATTATCTACTAAATAGAACCTTAGCATTTGAAATCTGTTTTGAGCTTTTTTGGGGTTGAATTTTTCAAAATATTTAAGCAATTAGTTATAGTTAATAGTCAGCTTGTACAGCTTTGTTTTCTAACACTCGTTTGCATTGACTAATAAGAATTATTTTGAGCTTTATGTTTCTCAATATCATAAGAGCATTTAGAGTATGATGATTGGATGGAAGGTTGAAATATCTTGCGACTTGATCGATCGCTTCATGTCAAAATCTCAAATTTTATTTGTATTCGTATCTCTTATTAACATCCATGCGAATATTCGTATATCGTAGGATCACCCGTTTTTTCTTCATTACTCTTTCAGAGAAAGGAAAAATATTCACATTTCATAATATACTAGGTGTTGACCTGCGCCCTGCGCGGGATGAGATTATTTTGACTTTGATCGAACAATAATTTGATATATTAATTTGTTTAATTAAAAAATGGTAGTGGATGGGAATCAGTAATAAAAAATCATATAGTCATATAATGAGATATTAGTATAGCTGCGAAACGAAACATTGATTCATAGAAATTTGTTTTCACTGTTTGTCTTATATATCTGTTTGTCTTATAGATACATGATGATACAAAAAAATTAAGAAATCGTCTACTAAAAAAGTAGTAAATAAATTAAAATAATTAATATGATAATAAAACATAGAGAAACAAAACATGATATAATGAGAAAAAAGTATATTAAAATAAAATAATAAATAGAAAATTAAACATGATATAATAATTGAAATTGTCTTCAAAACTCTTGGTTTGCAATCCTACAGACAAAAATAACAATTAGTTAGTTTACCAAACAACACACACTCTTTTAATATTTTAAACTCATCGAAATGATATACTTCTTCCTCAATGCATGGAGTTCTGGAACATCATCTGGTTCAAAAATGATTTTTGAAAAGCCATCGATGTTTGAGATATTCTTCATTTCTCCTTATCATTATTAAATAGACTATTTATTTAAAATTATAAAAATATATTACCTGCTCCCCAATTAATTTGCCAGAATTGTAAAACACACAGTACAACATTCTCGTTAATTGAATTCCACCAGTTCTCTTTTCACGGTTCCAGCTATCTTGTCTCCCTAGTAGCAAGAATATTAAATTAAATAAGTAAACTTCATATGTCAAAAAGAGAAATAGAATAAAACTCGATCATTTCAAATTTAACTTACTCTAGCATCGAGGAAGACCATTTCGATAGTCTCCCCAGCAGCTGCAGAATACTGTTTCCAAAGGCGGTCAATTTTCACTTGCACCTTCCATTGGTTCTTGAAAGGCTTCAACTCAGATATAAGGTTCATGGCGGCCATAGAAGATGTGTACGTTTATTCTTGTTTGTGTGAATGTTGAATGGACCTTTAAAATACGAGTTATATATGTTTAAATAGCATTTACATTTGCGATTTGCGCTTTTCTATCAAGGAAATTCCAATTTATGGGTATCTCATTTAATTCAGAATATTATATATAGGTGATTGACATTCAATTGGAAAGAAACCATTAAACCGTTTACCTAATAAAAACATTCTGAGATTTAGTTGCTAAAATTACGTGACTGAAATATATTCATTCAATATTCGAAATATGTATGCAGATTCGATCATCAATTTTAGTTGACATTCGACGATGTATGAAATATATTCATTCAATATTCGAATAGAATAACATCATTGGTTCGTGCATATAAGGGAAACTGAAATACGCATGCAGATTCAGTCATTAATTTTAATTGAAGATTGAAGATAATTGTATTTTGTACTAATACTAAATATGCATATAAAGGAAACTGAAACTCTCTTAATTTTCTGATGAGAAACGAAATATAAAATATAAAATTCGATTATAAGATCAAAAACATATTGTTGAAATATAAAATATAAAGTTCGATTTTATAAAATATAAAATTTAAAATTTAAAATTTAAATATATGCCCAATAGACAATAAGGAATTATGAAATAAGGTCAATTTTTTCCTATTTTTATTTATACTTATGTAACGAAATATATTTTGAATTTGAATAAATCGTACAATAACATGTACCAAAATCATTCTATATGCATGTTTTACATTTACAATATTTACATGGAGAATGATATACATAAAATATATCGTACATGTAACAAAATCATTATATAAGGAAATTTAATTATATGCCGAGTAGATAAACATGTAATCCGCTATATGCATGTCTTTATTGTTATATGAATATGTATATTTATATCAATGGCATGTTGTGTAATTACTCTAGTTAACTAAGGTCTTTTAGATAAAAGGTGTGAGAAGGCTTGTGGAGTTGCCACGTAGGAAATTGCATGTTTGTAATAAACACATGAAGTAAATGTTTATTTGCAAAAGTTCTCATCAAATAATTAGAAGGGGATTGTTAAAAAACAAGATAATCAAGAAAAATATATAAAAAATTTAATAATTGAGGATTATGGTGTCATGTCCTTTTCTAAGCGCAAGCAGTTGAATTAAGTTGTAAGTAGGAGTCTAGGACTGTTTTTTTTTTCCACTCTAAATCTTGGAATTTATTCATACATAATTGTGGTTTCTGATTCCTTATTAGTTTACTATCGTACATTTGTTGGATATACATCCTTAATACTATCAAGAGATAATATTTATAGTAAAAAATATTAATTTAAATTTATTGGTAAACATGATTCAGTGATCTGCATCACACACTTGTTTTTTATTAACAAGAAAAAATTATTCACGTTATAAAATACAAATAAATATTGGAGAAACATTATATCAAATTTTGATTATTTCTAAAAACAGTTTTTTTATTAACATATAAAAATTTGGCTTAAACCATTTTAATTTTTTTGTATGAGTACATATTAGTATTTATTATTTTATTTGGTGCAAACATGTTAGTGTGTTAGTAGAAGTATATATATGATGCCAAGAAATTTGTTTATAAGCTAAAGCTTCCATCTATTGACCAAAAACACATCTCTTCTCTCAGTTTGGCCCATGGAAGTTGCACAATCCGACCCAATCCAGGATCCGGAAACCCGATACCTTCCACGTTGCTGCTCGTGTTTCCCCACGTTCCGACCAAGAACCTCCTCCAGACAACACTCTTCCTCTTCCTGGGGAAGAATCCGGACCGTTGATGATAATCCACCGTGGTGGAAACGTGCGGCTCTCAAGATCCGAGAATGGTCCGAGATCGTAGCTGGTCCACGTTGGAAGACTTTCATTCGGCGGTTCAACCGCGACCCACGTCGCGGCCGCGATTGGGACGCGGGGGAAAAGTTTCAGTACGATCCTTTGAGTTACTCTTTGAATTTTGACGATGACGATGAGGAGGATGAGTACGTTGGGTTGGGTGGTTTCAGAAGCTTCTCTACTCGGTACGCTTCCGTTCCGGTCACTTCAGGGAAAGCTCCGGCGTTGACGGCGCGTGACGAGAGTTAGTGGGCGCGTGTGAGAGACGCGTTTGCGTTTTCTGGCGGGAGCGATGAAAAGGCTGTCAAAGTGGGTTGACTTGTCGCGTTAATTGTGTTGTGGTTAATTCTGTTTATAATAATTTAAAATTACGATCGACGTTGAATTATTTATTTATCATCGTCGTCGAATTAATTTTTACAAGACGTTTTTATTTTTGTTTCTTTTTGGGGGATATTATTATTGAATTTGAAACGGTTGATGTCATGATGTAAATTAGCTGTACAGTTTATGAGGATAGTAATGATTAAGTTTTTTTTTTGTAATTTAAAAGATGAATTGGTTGGCAACTTGGCATAGTTTCTATGTTTTAATACTCCACGTTGGGTTTTATATGGTGTAAATTTGGTTTATCCGTATGTGAGACTAACCACCTGTTAATAATGAACAATGATATTGCTAATGTCTATCTCATTAGAACCCGACATATTTGACAATTGCTGCCTCATCTGAAACTCATCATGTAGTCATCTGTCATACATCTCTTTCTACATCATGTACGGAACACTAAAATTACAGAAAAGGTGATGGTTCGATTCGATCAATCAGTGGACCACAAGACCAACATTCTCACAAAACTGGAACAAGATTTGTCAGGAACACTGAACAATCAAATCATAAATCTATTTGAGTTGAAACTATATCGCAGTTTTGTGATTTAATGGTGATCTTAAGATAAGTGGCGTTAAAGAAAAAAAGAATATCGAAAATATTTTTGTAGGATATATTTTTAAATTTTGTTGTATTAGTTTAAATAGAAATAAAAGTGGTAAATAAGATAAATTTTTTCATTAATAAAAGTATTTTAATGATTACAACATTTGAGACAGACATTTGTCATCACTATAATGATTCATAGAATCTTTAGAGAAATAAATTGGTTCATCTAAATATATAATAAGTTTTTATTACATTAACCAGAATTAATTATTAAGATTTTCAATTTTTTCTTTAAATAAAAATTATGGAATTATCAAATGTGACTAAAGTATATATGACAATAAACAACCTTGATAATAAAGATTTGAAACAAACTATATCATTTTTGCCTGTGTTCAAATTATTAAAATAATTTAAATAATCAAAGTAACCATATAATAAAAATTTAGATTGTTTACATATATGTTATATTTTGAATTTTTTAAAAGTTTCAAATTATTTTTAATGATTTTATGGTTTAAATTTTGTTTATGACAAGATCCAAAATGATTACAAAATTATATAAGTAAGAAGTCGCAGTTCATAAATATCAAAATTAAATATATAAAATGCATAAATAGTTTAATTATGAAATTATATTTGAACAATTCTTTTTATAAAAAGCTTTGAACAAATACTGAAAACTTAATATTACATGATTGGGACATATTATAAAAATTCAAAATTATGACGTGTTCAAAATTTTCTAAACTATATAATTATCTATACTATTATTTGAGAAGTAAATTTGCTTAGTTGTCATGTTCTCCATAAGTTTAGGTAATTTTATTTATTTATTGTATTTTTAATATTTATATATTTTATTTCTAAATAAAACGAATTTATATGAATATATCATATTTTTAGAAAGTAAGATAATTCTTGTGAATTATGTTGTTACCTTGAAATATATTTTTATATATAAAACTTAAATTTTAAATTAAGATATAAAACTATTATATTTATCTAAAAAGAATTTATAGTAATAATTTATTTTTTACATATAACTAAAACGAATTTATGTTAATAATTTAATATTTTCCTACAATAAGATAATTATTATGTATTATGTTGTTATGTTGAAAATATATTTTCCTATTAGAAAACTTAAAATTCAGATATAAAAATTATATTATTAATAATTAAATATAAATCATAACTAAACATAAATCTTCAAAAAAATTATTTGAAAAGTGAATTTCTTGATTTGTCTACATGATCCTAAGTAATTTTGATCATTTATCAGAATTTTTATAATTTTGTTTATTATTTATCATATAATAAGTGAATTTAGGTATGTGTGCAGATACCTAAAGTATGAATTTGTGGGCATTTAATATATAGGTATTTAATATATGACGATTCTGAACTCAACTCTACGCTGTAATATTGTTCTTGCTGTGGATCAAGTTGTGGAGGTAACTAATCTCGCAACGTTAGTTTACTACTGTTTTATTTGTGAGTTTAGTTTGGATCTCGTTTGCGCAAGCAAACCTTTATTCCGTAACTATCAAAAAAGGCATGAGCATACTCTCAACCACTTTCCTAGAAAGACTGATTTGATATGTGACGTTTGTGGGTTAGTTGATAGTAAATCTCTCATCTGCATATGTGTTCAGTGCGGTTTCGTTGTCCATGCAAAATGTATCTACTTACCGTTTGTGGGGTACTATTTTTTTCCCAAAATTTTCATAAAACTTGTAAATGATCATGTGATAAAAGATAGATGACAAAGATCAACATAAGTTTTTGAAAAAAAAGGTTTCAGAAGAATAAAATCAACAAAAAGTGAGAATAAGAATGAAATAGAGATGAAGGGTATTTTTGTCTTTATATATATTATACAAAGAATATCATAGTATAAAAATTGTAATGGTTATATACTTTTTTTTTATGTACATTACACATAGTTTCTCCATAATCAACTAGTGGTTTTTAGGAACAATATGTACAACTAGCCAAAAGCCAACCTCCTATACAATTTTTGTTTCTTTCGGAAGAGAGAGAGAAACGCTAAAGCCTCGTCGTATAAACATTCACATTTAATCTAGGAAATCATTGATTTATAGTTTTTTGTGGTAACGTTTTACGACTGAAAATAGAACATTTTTTTCCCTTTCAAAGTATTTGAATTATTCTAAAACTGAAGCTGAGTTTTAGTTATACAAAGTTTAAGCCGTTAAACCCTATCATTGCTGAAAATAAAGATTTTTGAGAACAATGATGAGGCTTCGATGTTAGGATAGGATATCACTTCTTGAGCTCTTTCCTTGCTAAGATAATGTTCCTGGCTAGCATGTCTATTTCCCTGAAAATGAAGTGAGGGACATCCCGCTGTGTAACCTCTAGTTGTATTTGCATATACTGTGTGCGTAACTTCGGATGTTTATAAATTTTGACAAAAAATGCATTGTTATGTACACTAAAAACAATTAAGTGATGGATAATGAATGCACTACATATTGAGATGGAAACGCATGCAGCAAAAATAAAAGCTCAAAATATAAACATTGCAATAGTTTGGTTTGGTTATTTTTGGTAACTCTTTGTTACCTACCTACTTACTCTCCATCTCTCTACCATAGCAGCTTTATTCCCTCTACAAGGTCGGTCTTCTCTCGGAAGAATAAGTCTTTTGTCGCATAATTAATATAACACATGAGGATAAAAGTTTTTTTTTAGAAAAAAAAAAAATCTTTATCCCAAACCCGAAGAAAACGTGATCATGTATCTATTAAAGAAGTAAAGTGTCACCGGGATTAACAAAAAGTAGCCACAAACTAATAACTTCTCATTCCACGACAAAAAAAACACAAAGTTTGTGTATGTGCCCTAACTAAAGGTTTCTATAAAATCCTCCATTGCCACACACACATGTCACTAGCTCTATCATCAAGAAAATAACAACAACAAAAAAAAGATTATCTCTCGGTCTAAGAGTATGGAAGGGGTAAAGAAAACAATGGAGAAAGCACTGGTTGAGTTCCTCAAAGTGGCACAACGAGAATCTTTGTGGGTCCATGAAGACCAAGCCAGGAGGGGACATTGGTGGAGCTAGAAACTATTTAACATGGGTCAAAGTTAATTAAAAGTTTACATCACATATGTACAGAAAATGCACAAAATTTCTACATGAATAATACGTCATCTATAGTCCATGACATCTAAATACCATCTCTAATGGTGCTTCATTTTTCACCTTTTACTTTATTTTGAAGCAAATTTTGCCCCAAATGATGTTTCACTTCTTGTTTCAAAATGAAACAATGAACAATGTTGCTTCAAATTTAAAGTTATAATGTTCATTGTTTCCATCTTTGAAGCTGAATTTTCTCAATTATAAATTAGTCATTAACTTTTACTTATTCTTACTTTTTGATAAAGTAAATTATATATGTTAATACTATCCAATTAATATCACAATTTGACTACTATTTTCAAATAATCTGATATTTATATTGACGATCATATAAATATTCCTTTTTAACAACTTTTAACTCAATTAAAAAGAATCAAAGATAATAAGCAGATCTCTTACTTCTAAACATTTTTATTAATCACTTACAAATATATATATATGTGTGTGTGTGTGTAGTGTTTTTTACAAATTATGATGTTTAGTGTTTGTTTATTCATATTATATAATAAATATATCTCATGATAATGTTGGATTTTATATTAAATAGTAATTGTGTTGGATATTGTTAAAACAAAATAGTGGAGTAAATTTTGGAAATATGCAAAATTATAAAGTATTATTAATAATTAATAATAATGTAAAAATATAATATACTTAGAATTTTTTTTACAAGAAAGAAAAGAAGTTAACCATTAGATAAGATGTTGTTTCATAGTTTACTTCATTTAGAATAAAATGATCTTTTGAAATTAAAAAATAAATTCAACCATTGGAGATGTCTTAAATAATTTGAAAGACAAGTTTAACATATCACAAAATCCTAAGTTTCGTAAACTATGTTGATTAACTAACAATGGAATCAAATTCTCAAGTGACCCACAAGGAGATCCATTATTCTAAAACATTTAGGTTCACCCAAATGAGAATATGTAAGGAAAAGATTTCTATCTTAAAAGAAGCTGAAACAAGTATTGCAAGAAAACATAATATGTACCAGAACTTGAACCCCGGAGTTTGAATACAACAGGGCGAACCACACTACAATGCAGGTCTGATCGCAGGAAAAAAGAAACAAAATAAGAGATGGAGACAGGCTCCTCCAAGTTCGTTATCTTCAAATTCAACAAGTGTGCAATAACCAACCATCTTGTGAGGAAAGTGCTCTAGGTACGAGGCAGTTGGTGACCTGTTTAGAACCGAACCACTACAGCCGGTTTGTTAGCACCTGGAAGCTGCAGTGCAGGTCAAAGAAAAAAAAAAAAAACAGAAATGAGTGCGTTTGAGAATTTGTATTGCTTTCTAATTATAGCATAGATAAGCTCAACACAGCGTCATCTCCTCGCTGCTGATATATCATAGTCATTATGAAATCTAGCATACTATATATTCTCAATGAATCATGAAGAAGCTCTTCTCTCTCTCTTACCTTAGCAGGTCATCTCCTCGTTGCTGATCTACTTTCGTGATCACATGCTGACAAACATAGTTCATCTTTTCACCACTTTTACTCTTTGCTTGAGGCTTATTGACGTCAGAACTAAGAGAGGCAACATACTTTGACAAGGCAACACCTTGAACAGAATAACAGTGGTCTCTGATGTACAGAACCTTGTAGCAAAACAGGAAAAATCTAAGAAGCAGAAAATGTGGGAAGCAACATGAAAAACTAACTTCTTTTAATTGTTCTCACCTTTGTTAACGTCCCATATGATGCAAGAATTGTCCACCGAGCCAGAAATCAGAAAAGCATCATCAGGAGACCACTGTAGATCTAAGACATCCTTTCGATGATATCTAGCAGAGTAAAACAAAGTAGAAGAACTAATTCTCTTAGCCTACATTTCTGCTCCAGAGATAATGAAGTAACACTCCAATGAGTCCGTGAAACTTTCATAACTATGTTACTACTCTTACAAAAGCACTCTCCCCTCTTGGTAACAGCAATACTGGAAATAGTTACTTGCTATCCTAAAACTTAACTGACTACAAAAGCGATTAAGACGGAAAGACTCACGATAACGATTTGTGGACTTTCCATGACTGATTGGTTTCACTAGGAACATGCAACTTCCATATGATAAGCTCACCTCCTGCATTATAACAAAAAAAAACACAATTGGTTACACTAAGCATTCAAAATATGTAAAATACAATAGGAAGCTTCTTCTCCGCCTGACCAGAGTTTAGTAACCATAAAAAAAAATTCAATTTAGTCACCAATTACATTCCTGATCCTCTAAAACCCATTAAACCTAATTAGAAACATCACACACTCAAAAAGCTTACGACTTTCGAACATTCAAGCGAAACCCATATCCTCAATTGGATTAATATCGTCGTTGACCTACCCAGACATTCACACTTGACTAGTGTATATAAAACTGTTTCCACGTAAAATATATTTTATGAATAAATATCCAAAAAAAAAGTAGGGCTTTTTGCATAATTGACCTGAAACTTGAAGTCAACCACAAAACTAACCTCCTTTTTTTTTGAAACTTTATTTTGTCCAATTCACCCCACAAGTTCATATAATTCACGAAAATGCCATCAATTTGTTTTTTTATTTTTTTTTTCGAAAATGACATATTTACTCTCTCACCCTCATCATCTTCAAGTAATTACAAGATTGTCATTGTCATCAATACTCCAACAACCATGAACAACCAATTTTTGAAGCTCTTAATGCCTCCAAATTCCATTTACTCTTCTTCTTTCTCTATTCTCATGAACTAAACAACACATTACAACACATATCTCTCACTTTCT